TGCTATGGTAAAGTTACTTTTAGTTTCACCTGGCCTGCTAAACAGAATCAGAGTCGAGCACGCCGCCCCTAGCGACAACGTTCAGCTCCCTGCGAGGATGACCTCCCGCCTCCGGGTACGGTACGAGAACAGCAATGCTGAGATTCAGATAAGTTTTGGAAACTCTGCAGAGTAGATTTTTTTTTTTTTTTTACCAGCTTTCACACACATCCCCCTCCCCTCTATCCCCCACCTTTCCCCGCACCCTTTCCCCCTCTTCCCTTGGAGGGCGGGCTTGGGTCAAAGCGATGAAGAGGAAGATGCACGCCCCGGCTGGCAGAGCTCTCTGCAGTGAGTTCTGGTTGCTGGAGGGACGGGTGAGTCCGGTGCTGCCGAAGGGGCCAAACAGACAGCGCGCCTCCCATCCCTCCGCCCTGGCGTGCTCCGCCACTGGCACCTTGACGTCCGACGAGGTGCCCCGGCCTTAGGGAAGGCCTTCGCTTTCGCTCCCCCTGCCCTTCCGGTACCGCTTCACTTTCACGTCCTCCTCCTCCTCCTGAGGGGACTTGTTTTTTCTTTTCCCAACCCGGGGCGCCCGGGGTAGAGGGAGAGGGAGTGGAGGGGGTGGAGGAGGAAGAGGAGGCGGCAGGGGTGGTGTCTCTCGAGCCATATGTATGACAGCCTCGATGGTGGCCATGATAGTATCTTGAGTGGCTGCTTGCTCCAATATCAAAGGATTGAGTGTTGGTCTCTGACCTCTTTTGCTGGGAAGGTCAATGCATTTTTCCAGAACGGGCATTTGGTCTCTGGAGTCTTCGTCGAAGGAAAGGGGCTGCTTCCGAGGACGACCCCTCCGCTTCTTGACGAAGTTATTGCCTGTCTTTGATTGTCTCTGCAGCCGCTTGGCTTTCAGGATCTTGTTCACATGATCCAGGTTCTTCTTCGTGGACAGGATCTTGGTGTAGTTGCACATCTTGCGCACCTCGCACTGGATTGCTTCGATTTCACGGCGCTTGAACCTTTTCTTCAGTGGTGAGCTGGCTGTTGGGAGAAAAGGAGAGAAACAGCGGTAGGTCAAGCAACAGCGATTGGAAACTCTTCTTGGAATCCTTTCAGATTCATGAGGAGGAGATGAAAACACAACTCTGATGTTAAGCAGTCTTCCCTCTCCTAAAGAACCAAACATTTTCTACCACAATGTTTTACCAAGAGTTTGCTTCATTCTCATTTCTAAACCTCTAGTTGGAGTGAAGGGAGCTTAGCATAGCTGGATCATCTTAACTATTAAAACTTTCTACATCCTAAAGATATAATCCTGATGTCTTCACCCTGGCCTTTAATTCTCGTCATGAATACCAGTTAGTATGAAAATTGTTTGTTACTGAAATTAGACAAGCTGTGTGGGTCACTTAATCTGTGGCAAATTCATGTGCCTGGGTTTCTGTACTCTCATCTCTGCAGATACAAGCTGAAATTACTCAGTCATATAATTGACTTTAATAGCCCCCAAAGTAACCTTACTCCTGGTTCAGATCACTTACTTTAGATCTGAATGAAGTCCAAAGTAGTTAAGTCTCTTGCCAAGGTCACGTTGTGAGTCATTGTCAGAGCTGGAAAGAGTACCCAGCATTTCTTGGCTCCTGGTCCTTTGCTTAGGACATGAGACCTTGCTTGTTTTGCCTAAATTGTCTCATTGTCCTTTACTGAACATGGCATCTGTTCAGAGTTCAGGATTTGCACACAGATTAGAAGTAACTACCCCTTTGTGAGGGAAACATAATGTATTAATTCTGCTTTTGCAAAAACTGGTGCTCCCTTTCACTCCTAACATATCCGTTCCGCACTGCTAGAAAAGAAATGATGGAGCTCAGAATTTCTTTTTGGTGAAGAATAAAACATCCCACTAAATTAACCTCAGCCCACATCTACTTGCAAACTTAATTTACACCTGACTGTCAAGCAGTCATTTGGGTTTGAAATCCTTGAAGTTTCCAGAGCAGCCAAGATTTCAAGAAAGATTCATTTGGGGGTTATCACTCCCTTCACGGCTAATCTTCTAGCAGTAGTTTAAATAAAGTTGCCATTGTAGTATTTTCTGCAGATAACCAGGAACTGTCAAGTGGGAGAATCTCCTCTTGCCCTCTATAGGCTATGACAGATTCAGCATATAAACTTCATTCACTGGCCTCCCCTCTTGGAGAAATGTAAATTATTGGCTCTTATACCAGCGTGTTGCTTGGATTCAGTGAAGAGCTTGCGTAAACAAACCCAAGTTACAATGTAAGAAGTAGGAGTGAGTCATAAACAAAACGCAGACATATGCTCTCTTATAAATAAAGACCTGGGATGGCCAACTTCCCAAAGTCTGGTTTTCATTAATTACAAAACAAAATACATTTTCCATATGTAACCCACTCCCCACACCAAAAAGAAAAATAAAACCCACTTGCAGTCACAGAGGACAAAGGAAAAGAGGAATGCAGTCATTCTGGTACCAGAGGAAAAGAGAAAGGAAATGAAATATCCAAGCTGATCAGGAGAAGCTAATTAGTTGCACAGAATTCCTCCCAAGTAGGTCACCCCTAAAAACTGTGGATGCAAGGTCCCTAAAGGCAAGTGGCAGTGAGCTGTTTCTCAGAAATTTGATCAAAAAAGGTTAAATCCCTGTCATGGAAAATGATTGCTCTCATCTGTCCTTACTGGTGATTGACACAAAGAGTTCCAATATCTTCAGCCTTAAGCATGCAAATACTTTGAGCCCCTCCCAGATACTGAGAGTAGCTTCAGATCAGAAGATCTAAAAAATCAAACATTTGGCGCACTCTTCACATTTGCTGTCCACCTTTTGCCTTTATTGCTATTGCCTTTTTTTTCCCCCCTTAATTCTCATATTTGAGATGTAATTTCCTTTTTTTGTTTGTTTGTTTGTCCCACAAAGTAATGCTGGTTTTTTTTTTCAGCTGGTGATGAGAAATTTAGCAGAAGTACAAGAACACTTGCAGGTTCATTATGATACCAGGAGATTTGGCTTTACTGTCAATTTTCTCTGGAAAGAAAGTAAGCCAAAGAACAGGAAACAGGTTTGAAATAAAGCATTAGCCAAGTGCCTGCAAAGATTTTATGTATTTACTGAGATTTCTCTGTAGCCAGTTGTTTCTGCAGATTAGTGTTACCACCTGATCATTGTCAATGGAGACCTGGCGTGTACAGACGGTAGAGGATGACCTTCATTTCTAAAGTGGGAACTCAAAGCAATTCAAGGGGACCACACACATCCTTTTGATGTCCTGATGCTGGACAAGAAAAACACAACACTCCTGCCCATCCTGAAATCCATGGAGTACCTCAGGCACTCAAGAGTTCACTCAGGCTGAGTACCCTCAGTGGAGTCTCTTGTGAAGAGGCAGACTGGAGGTCAGGAGCCTGACTGGAGCAAAGGAAGGCTCTTGCTTTCTGCCAAACTGCTCTCTCAGTGTCTTCCTTCATGTTTAGATAATTTTTTTCTTTTTCTCTTAAAAAACTTTGCAAGCTGACAGTATGATGCTTTTTTTTTTTTTTTTTTGCACTGAAACTGATTTTCTCATCTAGAAAAAAAAAAATTCTGTGCTGTTCTACGCCATCTTACTGCACTAATTTTTCCTTCATAAATGCTTTGGGGTGTTTATGGCTACTAATAATGCTTTTGCTTTTCTTCCTAGCAAGCCTCTCTGAACTTGCAGGCTCTAGAAAGCATCTGAGTTCTGTTACTCTCTGCCAATAGTCAGAATGCATGTACTGAATGAGTAAATATCCTTTCAGGTCAGGCTTCTAAAATGAGATATTAGGAAACTCAATGTTATTTTGACTATTAAGTGTTAGGGACATCTGATTCTGGATTTGGTGTAGGGAGACTGTGCGGAAAGAGCCTGATGGGTCTGCAGGGGGAAGATTTGATGAGGTGTGCATATGACAAAATATCAGGGAGATCTGCCAAAGTAAACCACTATTGAAGTGAGAGCCATTAGGTGTTATCAACTCATCTGGAAGTTCTTGGTGAGCAATCTTTGATATAAAGTACTTTCCTATATTGACATGTGATATACTGCTCTGCTGAAAAACAAAGCTAAGTATTAATCTTTTCCATTTTCTCCAGACAGACCCTGACCAAACCTCGACCCAAGTTGGTCTGCGTTGGTTTTAAGTTTTGTTTTTCTGGTCGTGCACATATTTTGCTATTTACATACAGAAATGTTGCAAGACTTCTGTCTTGCTCTGTTTAGTGGAATTCATTTAGAAGGGGTTGAGGAGGCGATGGGGAACAGTACCTCTGTCTGCATGCAGGCACACGAAAAGGGGAATGTGCTCCTACGGAGATGACACAACATGCGGCAAATGCCAGGCAGCAGGGATGCACAGGGGGAACAATTTTTTGCCTGGGCATACGGATCTCCCTACACCTCCCCAGGCATGGCCACACGCTGCCTTCACAAAGGCCAGAGGTCATTTTTTGGCAAAATCCAGCCCAAGGAGAAGAGAAATTAGAACATTGTGATGCAGAACAAACACTTGTACTTTTCCTTCGTTCTTTTCACACTGTCCAAACAACCTCACCTTGCTTCCCCAGACAAGCAAGAACCAATGTTGGCCTCAAAACACAGTTTCACACATTTAAAATAAGGCACATGGAGGTCCCAGTGTTCCTCCCTTCTGTGGGGTACACCTATGAAGTGAGGGCCAGTCCCACAATTTGAAATGGCCACGGGCATGCCAGGAAGTCGTGCAGGATTCATAGGAGGCTGCAAAGAACTTCTGAGGCAAAGAGAAAAATCTCTAGCAAAAATACCCATTTCCAAGGGTAGACTGGAAGTGGCTGAAGGATACACTCCAGCAGAGTGATGGGGAACAAGGTGAGTCCAGGTAGATTAGACCCCTCTGGATGTTCTCCACAGGCCCCCTAATGTTATTCTGGATGGTTGTTACGTCTGAAGTTCTAAAATCCTTATTACTGCTTGTCATTCTCCATCTCTTTGGAGCTGCCTGAGGCCACTTGCAAGAACATGGCACAAAAAAGAAGACTGTTTGCTAAAAGCTGGGCTCAGTTTGTTCACTTGGTTTGAATGGAGGAATTTTCAAAGAGCTCCCTATTAATTACAGGAAACCCATAGCACTGTCCTGTTTTCCCATTAACACAGTTTCTTTCAGATTTCAACTAAATTATTTCAACATCTGGGCTACAGATAAACCAACGATTTAATTAGACTTCTGAAAATGGAAAGAATGAACAATGCAGTCAAGCATACATTTTCATCTTGAGACGGATCATAAAATATTTGTGTGCTTTCATTCTCTGCTGCTTTAAAAATCTGTCCTTAGTTTATATATAGGAAACTATTAAAGACAAAACAGACATAAAAATTTATCTTTATGGAGGGTATTCTACAGCATGGAACCTTTCTTTTCACTATTTATTCAGGAAACGAGAAGGGAATCAAAATGAGTGCATTGAAACAGCACTTTAAATTGAATAATTACATATGTTATCATTCTGTAAATCAGTGATACAAATACGATTTTTGTGAAGGTGGCATCAAAAGTTTCACGAGACTGTGAAACTCCTAAAGGCTGCATGTAAGGCAGTGTACTGTGGGTTACCCGTTCACTGGAAATTAGGGCGTAATGAAAGATTCACTTCTCTTTCCATGCCCATAACAAGGTGTGATGACTTGGCTCAATTTCTGACAGTATAACAACATCACTTTTCTGATCTGATTCAAAATAGAGGCACAAAATATAAGAAAGGCATGCAATTCTGACTTATTTACTCTGATATTTAAAGTACTATTCATTGCCCCGTACAATTTCACATTTGCAAGACAGAATATTATACTAAAACCACTAAAGTATGCAACAAAAAAATCTTATCTGCTCCTTAGCTATTTGCTGTGTATTTGGTATGTTCATGCTACAGGGATGGGAACATTCAAATAAATGAGGAAGGAAACCCAGAGTCCTACTACAGAACCCCCTGCTAGACCATACAGGCTACTTGTGTCCTCATTATTGCACGAGTTTGGTGGCCTGTGGGTGAAATAGATTTGATATGCCAAGATACAATCACGGTAAGGAAGTGTTAGAAAAATTACAGCCTGATTATCACATTAGATATGCACATTTGCAGCTACTCATCCCATCAGGAAGAGCAGTGCAGTTCCAGAAGAAAGAAGATGGGGAAGAAAGAGAGGGTAAGGAGGGAAACAGCACTACCTGCTTCAGATGTTGCTGCTGATGAAGGTAGGAGAGATAATACTGGACTCGGCATTGCAACACTGTCAACAGCTGCTGGTTTCCTTCTGGTCATCACGTTACAGGCAGAACTTTCCATTTTACCATGAAGTGAAGTCTGGTCTGCTTTTAAGTGGGGACCTGCAATACCTGAGGAAGGAAATAAAATTTGGATGAATATTGGTAAAGTAACATGCCTGGAGAACATCTGAAAAAAGAGTAGTCAGTTGTTGCTGCCCTGTCTATGTTGATATATTTCCATATTTCCTTGTATATGTACCTGTAATACAGTCTTGATACTAGCAAGGATCACCATTGTTATTTGTTTTTGATAACTTTGCTGTAGAGTACACTATCACTGGTCTCTGCAAAAAATGGCAAACCAAAAAAGAAAAAAAAAATCCACATTACTACTTTTCCTTCTAAAAAACCTGCATACACTCTGATGTATGTATAAAGAGAGACATGTTTCATATCTCTATTTAGTGGGATCGACTGTTTGTCATTCCTTGGGTAGTTTATTCTCCACACATTCCTACATGCTTCTCCTCTATAAACACCTCACTTAGTGGGTATTTCATCTGGGTAAGGAACAGGCATCAGGAACAACGTCAATATGTAATTCCCTGTCTAAAGCACATTACACTCACTTCTCAGAAATCCCCTCCCTGATTAAAATTTACCTTAAAACTCATCAAAGAGAAGGGAGTTAAAAAAGAACTTCTTTGTCATACATTTTTCTATCTGGAGTTTACAATGCAGAATAATAAATGAGTGGTAGAAATAAACCAAAGAGGTCAAATATTCCAGAAGAAAACCAAAAAATAATGCATTTATGTCTGATTCCTCCCTTAACAATATTTTTGAAAGTCTCATATTTTGTACCCGTTTTGTTTGACTGCAAATGTGTCAGATTTAAACTGCTGCAATTCAAATTTGAAAACCTCTCCCAGTCTCTTTGAAGCTGAGCTTCAACATGATGAGGACAGCTATAGGATTATCTCAAAGATAATCTGTCATAAATTCCTTTCCTTTTCAAATCTCTACCTGCACGTGTGCCTCAGATAAAATGTATCAGATTTTGGCAATTAAATCATACAGAGATTTAAAAAAGTCATGGAGCAACTAAGGTTGGAAGGGTTCCCTTGAGACCATCTAATCCACTCCACCCTGCTCAAGCAGGGTCAGCCAGAGCAGGTTACCCTGACAATGTCTGGTCAGCCTAGAATATCTCCAAGGAGACTTCACAACCTCTGTGTACAATCTCTTCATCCTCTCAGTATAACATTGTTGTTCAGACACAATCTGTGTTTCAGTCTGTGCCCACTACCTCTTGTCCTACCCCTGCACACAGTCTGGAACCATCTTCTCTTCTCTTTCCCATCAAATGTTTGCATACATGGATAAGATCCCCCTGAATATCTTTCTCCTTGCCCTTATTGGAATGCCATTTCCCCTCTTCTGCTCCTCAGGGTCCTTTCCTGATCATCACAACCTTTCAAAAACAGCCAGGACTGGCCTCACAATGATGCCAACCAGATCTCTCAGCACCTTGGATGCATCCAGCCAGATCCCATGAACTTTTGCATATCCAGTTTAACTATTCCACAATCTGATCCTCCTCCACCAAGGGTAAGTTTCCTTTCCTCACGTCTCTCAGGGGCCTGTGACTCTCAAAGGCCAGTTTTACCAGTAGAGATCAAGGCAGACAAGACAATGAACACCTCAGTCTTCTCCTGGTCTTTTCCCACCAGGGTCCCTCTTTCATTCAGCAAGGGGCCCACCTTTTCCTTAGGCTACTTTTTCGCTGCTTGTGTACCTGTAGGAACATTTCTCGGTGCTCTTCTGCCCTAGATTCAACTCCAGATAGAACTTTGGCTTCCTAAGCCCATCCCTGCATACTTGGGCATTGTAATTCTCTGGGCCAATCCCTTTTCCTTCCTTTTTTGTATCTGACATTGCTCAGGAACTTCTTGGTCATTCATGAAAGTCTCCTGACAGCTTTGCCTGTTTTAATTTACCACTCTGATCTGGTTTGGCGTGATCCAAGTACCAGGCCAGCAGCAAACCACCCTGCACAGCAGGGCCTTTATCCCCTGTGGCAATGAACCCCCACTGCACCTTCATAGCACCTGGTTGTTTATCAAAAAGTCTCCACAAGTATTCTGACAGCTACAGCCACAGAATCATTAAGTCTCACATTCCCCAAGCACTGCCAAGGCCACCAATAACCCGTACTCAAAAATGACACATCCACATGGTTTTTAAATCCCTCCAGGGATGGGGACTCCATCACTGCCCCGTGAAGCTGTGCCAGGGCTCAACAGCCCTTTCCCTGAAGAAATTTTCCCTAATATCCAGTCTAAACCTTCTTTGGAACAACTTGAGGCTGTTTCCTCTTCTATCACTTTTTCCCTGGGAGCAGAGCCTGACCCCCACCTGTCAGGGAGTTGCAGAGAGCCAGAAGGTCCCCTCTGAGCCCCCTTTTCTCCAGGTTGAGCCCCATCAGATCCCTTAGCTGCTCCTGGTGCTCCTTTCCTAGAAGATCAAGATCTCAAAGCAGAGCCAGAAACAGCTGCACAAAGCTCTGTGTCTGTTGGCTGTGCTCAGCCACTCCAGATGCCAATCAAAAATTTCTTGCACATGTATTTCTTCATAGCTGCTTGGAGCTGCTATGAACAGTCCCTACCTTTGTCTCTGGCCCATGAAATGAGGAATATCAGGAGATCTACGGGCTGTCTCAGAAAACATGGAAAAGATCTCTATCAGAGAGAGGCACAGAACTGCTCTGGTGAAAGGAGTCTGAAAGACAGGGCTACAGAGTAGACCAGTTTGGAATAGAACTCCTGATGAACCCACAACCTGATATATCAAACTGCGGACTTAAGGGAGGCAAGAGCTCTGAGTGCAGAAATAGCCATGAGTGAGACAGTATTACAGGTCATGGCTTGGTAGAAATACAGGAATCTCTGCCTATTAGACTTCACATCCTCCCAGAGCCTCAAACCTGGTATTAAGCATCTCAAATTGTATCCATTAAACTTCAGTCTCTCTCTGCTTGGCTTCTCTAGTGCAAATGAAAACAATAATACACCCCTCATCTCAAGAGCAGTCCTGTGAAAATAAAATTATCAACATTCATGAAACATTCATCTATTCATACCAAGGCTTAGAAATGTGGAATAAATGAGACATGATGTCACGCACTGAATAGCAAGAGGAAAATCCAGCTACCAAATAGCTGTTCATTAGGCGAGCGCTGTACGTGGAACAAAACAGTGTCCCACAGAATAACCGGGACATTTGGCAAGGTAATTACACCTGTGGGATCTCACCACCGTGGAACTGTGCATATGCAAACCTGAGGTTTCACCAGTGCTTGAGTCTGTGCCTTAACATTATTTATTCATGAACGCAATTGGTGCACAAGAAATGTGGGTTTGTGGGTGCGTGTATCAATACACATACACATATATGCACGTGCATATGGTACATAATAATGCTAACAACCTCATAAATTCAACATCTGGCTCTAATTAAACTGAAGGGCCTCTATAAAGAGCCGAATGAAAACATGCAGCTGTAACCTGTTGACCTCTATTGATAAAAAAAAATAAAAAGAAAAAAAGTCTGTGAAGCTGTGTTTCAACATATCAAGGGACAGTCATTCATTTTTTCAAAGGTAATCCCTCACAAACCACTTATCCTCTCAAATCTCTACCTGCACACAGTGTTTGCATTAGGGACCTTGATTTATGGATTCCCACTCCTTGGATGGAGAGGCCAACTTCCTGTTGCCGTGGTTACTTGGATCTTGGTTCAAGGTTAAACTACTCCCAAATCAAAATCAGTGGCAGGCACAGCATCTAACAGCCGGGTTATTGACTACCCTAGGATGCTTAAAGGTCAAAGACCAAAGTGCTGCCTACTGCCTTTGGGGTGAGTCAATATTTTCAATATTTTTATTCTGTTTCTTCTGAAGAAGTAGTTGCTGCTCAATTACCACCTATCTGGGTTTAGCAAGGTCATACAAATCATTGAGGAAAATCCTCCCCTTACAGAAGAGATACAAATGTAATGAATTACTTCAAAGTCTATATGGCCCAACTTCAGCTCATCACTGGTGAATCATGGGTTTGGACATCTGTCTTTTGTTTTAGGGGCTTGGATTCTTCAGCCTGTGTCACTCACCTCACTGAAAATCTCATCTTAATTGAGGAAGAGGAGTAATTTATCGATCTGGAGAAGCCAATAAGGAAGAATCATTAGTTTTCTTTCATGGATACCAAAATGCAGAGACTCAGAGGCTATGTTGGAAACCCACAGAAGTGAAGCAATTTGCTCACAAGGCTTTGATGCACTCTGCAGTAGTGGAAGGTCTATTCCTGTGGAGACAGGCTGAGAAGAGCTCTGGTTGTTCAGACTGGAGAAGAAAAGGCTCTGGGGAGACCTTAGAGCACCTTCCAGTACCTAAGGGGACCTTACAAAAAAGCTGAAGAAAGACTTTCTGCACAACCAGAAAGAGACAGGACAAAGAACTGTTCTAAGTTAAAAGAGGGAAGTTTTAGGTTACATACTGGGAAGAAATCCTTCCCTGTGAGGGTGGGGAGGCCCTGGCACAGGTTGCCCAGAGAAGCTGTGGTTGCTCCATCCCTGGAAGTGTCCAAGGCCATGTTGGATGGGGCTTGGAGCAACCTGGGATAGTGGAAGGTGTCCCTGCCCATGGCAGGGGGTTGGAACAAGGTGATGCTTAAGGTCCCTTCCAACCCAACTCTTCTAGGATTCTATGATGCACACTAATGTCCTGATTCCAACCTTATTTATCACCTATCTGTTGATCTTTGTGCATTTCCTTCAAGTCAGAGCTCTCTTTGTCCCATGAAAGACCCATACCTTAACTCCCCTGAGTCCTACTGATAGCACAGACAATGCTACGTGCACCTGCAAGTGAGCAGTGGGCAGCAGATCTGGGAGGAAATCAATCATTATCTGGGTAATGAGAAAGGGAGGCTTCAAAAGCAAGGGCAAACACAAAGGAGTTTAGCAAGAATCTAAAACAGTTATGGCATGATTATAAATAAATAAGCAACACAATCAAAAGTAAAAGGGTGATTCAGGGGAAGCACAATTCTTGTTCAGGGCAGACTGGC